TTTATCGGCCAGTATTAGTAATATATGTGCATGTGGTAATCCCCTCTTTTGAAATTCAATTCTATAAATTATCGCAATTACTTTACCGAAAATTTTTTTTTCTTTAATATCTTTGAGCAAATTATCAAGTAACATTTTAAACACTCTATTAACTATATCAGGTCTATCGCCTGGACTTTGTCCTGGAAGTAAATTTTCTACAACATTCTTGTGGTAAGGATTCATTGTGAAAGTAATGAATAACGTAGGCCTCCCATGGTGGGCAACTACTGCCATTGCATCTCTATATTTTTCTTGCATATATCTTGGTCCTCCAGTAAAACTACTTGGGAGAATAATATTCTTACCAATATCTTTTGGTTTAATTCCTTGTCCAATTGAATCCATAAGACCGTTATATAATTCAGTTCTAAGTTTGGATTGGTTAAATCTCAAATAATTTAAGTTATTTTGCTCTATTTTTACATACATATCGACGACATATTGCAAAAATAATCTGCCAAATAAATGGGCAGTACTAAGTGCTTCTCTGTAATATAAGATATATTTATAATAATTCATCATTGTATATTTGTCGTTTTTTTCTTTTAATTCAACGCTCCAACCATATTCACCATATGGATACATAAGTACATAAGCTAATGGATCATATAATTTATTATTTTGGTTCATATGTTTAGGTGTATCGTTACGATATTCAATCAATATATCTCTTGCTTCGATTGGTTCATCTGGCATTAATACTGCAATGTCTGGATAATCTTTAGATGGCAAATTATGTGTTTTTGGATCTCGATTATGTTTTGCTATTAACTTTACTCTAATATCTTGTGATTCGTGTGTATTTTTTAAGCGTTCATAAATTGTTTTTAAAGTTTTAACGTGTTCGTTATGTTCATGTAACATATCTTGTAATGCTTTTAAAACAATAGGATCTAAATTAGACATATAATGTTGCCTATTTTCCAATTGTTCTTTAGTATCATAAAAATATATTTGCATAAATTTTGGAGGTTCATTTTCCAAAGGAAATAATGAACAGATATTATGAAACATTTGGCCAGATATTTTAAATGTATATATTCCTTTTGATGGAAAATTTACTATTCTTGTTCCTAATGAGGTGAAGCTTAGAACACTATTATAACCTCTTATATTATTTCTAAACTCTTTACTTTGTTTATTATTTAAAGTTAATAAATTATACAGAATAATTGGTAATTTTTGTGTTATTGGAAGAGATATTTTTCCATTACAACAACATGGAAATTGATTTCCCGATTTCACTTCACCTTTAAAAAATAACGCATTGCAATATTTGCAGTTAATATATAAATAGCCTAAATATGAATCACTACGTTTCACATGACTTTTTGTCTTTGCTATATTATAGAATTTTAAATATTTGTCAATATTATTTATTGTATTATTATCATCTGCGCCTATGGCTGCATAATTATCATCTGCGCCAATGGCTGCATAATTATCATTTGCGCCAATGGCTGCATAATTATCATCTGCGCCAATGGCTGCATAATTATCATCTGCGCCAATGGCTGCATAATTATCATTTGCGCCAATGGCTGCATAA